TCGACGGTAAATTTGAACAGAAACGATCCCGCCGCTTAACGTTTTGTCTAAGCCATTAGTTGTAACTACCTTAGCATTGTTTCAATTAAACGTTACTCGAAGCAAAGGACCGAGGACCCTGATAAAAAGTTTGCCAATTTGTCGTCATAAAGGACTATAATTCTCCACTATTAATTTATTCTTTCTATTTCCCTATTAATAGTAATTTTAATTACACTAATTATATCATAAATTTGGTAGAAAATGTCTGGCGATTCTAATAAAAATTTTGCAAATTTGTTGCCATAGAGGACAATAATCCTGCAGCATTATATTAATCCTTTTTTTTTCTGTTTTTCCCTGCTAATAGTAATTTTAGTTATACCAATTATACGCTAATTTTGATTTAACGGATTTTTAAGAAATGCAAAATTTTTCCATTGTCATTTCATTATAATGCACGTATGAATTTATTAATTCCTAAGAAATTTATTCCACACATAAAACTATCCTATCGACACGATATTTTCTACTGATGAAACACGACGATATCGAATGAAAATTAACGGCAACGGAAACAACGCGTAAAAATCACCGTGCACATTTATCTCGTGTGTTATGGAACGAGTAATTCAGCTATCGCTTCGACTACGTAAACATTTAACCGAGTAACTATCTTTTCATGAAACTGTAAACCAAACTAATCTAAACAGATTAATGATGTCAACAAAAATATTTTCCACGAATATTCCCTAGTTTGCAATGAATTCTCTCTGAACGTACCTATTTCAACGTTTTTTTTTTTTTTACATATATCAGAAATAACATTTATTTATAAAATTACATAGTATCTATGGTAATTCGCGACAGTTGTTATCAGTGGCGCATTAAGCAGCGGTAATTTTTTCGTTTTCTTCTCGAATGCGGAAAGGTTGCAACAGCTTGGAGGAAAAACGATCGAGTAGAAGAGGAAACGAAAGAAAAAAAAAAAGGGAAAAAACAAAGGGAAGAAAGCAAAAGGTGCTAAATTCCCAATTACATTAACTCGATTCCGGTTTCCCACTCCCGTGACATGTTGCTTGGAAGGGGTTAGTTAAGAGAACCGCTACTGGATTAGCGAGCTCACAACCCGGTCGATGTACCTTCTCCAGTTCGCGTATCTGTACCTTCGTCGTTTGCACGTCGTACAAATCCCTTAAGCGAGGCTGCAATAAAGCACGGTTTATCGTTCGCCAAATGCAACTACATGTGAACCATTTTGAAACGCTCTGCTTCCAAAGATAAACTGGGCATTTGTTCGTGTGCCATGAAATAGGAAGGCATTGTCGCTCTCCGACGACGCGTCATAATTCGAACGTGTCATCGAATACAACGGGATAAAAAATGCGGAAATTTTTCTTTAATCTTCCCCGACTTTACCCGATATACCTTCCAGGCGATATTTCTTCGCACCTTTCGACGCATGTACGAAGCAGAATTGAATAATAGCAGTAACGACGTTTTGCAGCGATAAATAAAAACGATGGAAAATTAGAAAATTGTTGTTCGTTTGGTAAATTCCTTTTCTTCCTGCAATTTTTATTCGAACATTTTTTTGGTATGATATTTTGTGAAAGTTACGACGGTATCGCCATCCGACGGCATGCGGCAACGAGTTATTTACTGCATTTTTTGACATTTTTTTTGCGAATTTTGGAAACTGGATAAATGGGTGACACAGTTTTTTGATATCCGTGGTTAGTTGT